TTATTATTACTGTATTATTATTATTATTATTATTATTATTATTATTATTATTATTATTATTATTATTATTATTATTATTATTATATATTAATGCTTACGGTACACCACGTAGATAGAACTATCTACGTGGTGTATTGCAAGCATTAATTATTACTTCGCCATGCAAATCTTTAAACATTATTATTATCATCATCATCATCTTTATTAGTGCTGCTTAGAAATGGTTGAAAAAGTGGTACTCATCGACAATAACAATTAATTTGTTGCATCACAGTATTCATTGAATGAATACCGTACGGAGGATTAGGCAAGAATAAAAACCAAATTAAGCAGTATTTAACAGGCTAAAGGTCAGGTGCTAGGTCACTTGTCACCCAGGGCTTCTGTCTCTGGACACCCCCGCTGCCCACAAGTCAATGGCAAGTGTTTCTGATTTACCGCAGCCTACAACTCAGACTTTTTGTACCCTCAACTTTGGAAGTTCAAGGACCCTTGATAACGGGAAGTTCCCAGAAATTATAGAAACCAATCCGTAACATTGTTCTAACAAAGAAACTTCGGATCAGCACATTTTATTTAATTTAGGGGGTTTTTTTTGGTTTTTTTTTTTTATTTTTTTATTTTTTTTATAATTTTCCAAAATTACTGCACAATTTTTTTTTCTACGAACACCAGATAGCATGCAATTAATAGGTCATTATTCAAACAAAAATATGAGAAAGGACAAGTGTTTTCTTGTCTTTATTTTCAATTGAAAGCGAATAAATTTACTTACTATGAGCAAATCCAGTTATTTACTGTACCTAATTTGGTCAAGCTTCATATCATAGCACAATCTTCAACCATGGAGGAAATTATTTTCTCCATGCTTCAACCTTTTATACAAAAACTGTGCCGTAAAAAATATAGGCCTAGGCCTACGAAATGTCTGCCATAAGTGTTGATGTATTGGCTTGATGTATACTTTTTAAGGGAACAAAATTACTGTACTGTACACTTATTTGGTTGCTGTTTAAGCTAAAAATTAAAGAGGGAACTTGAGATTGGTTTTATTTTCTTGAGAAGTTTAGAAGTTCTGAGTTTCTTTCTTTCTTTTTTTTCATCTTACTTTTGCTTTAATTTATTGATTGTTTAAATTAATTACGGTTTTGATATTTGTTGACGCACCTTTAAATTGATGAATGCCGCTGTTCAAAAAGCAATAAATAAATTAATAAATATATAGATAGATAGATAGGTAGATATGTAGATAGATAGATAGATAAATAAATAGATAGATAAATATATAGATAGATAGATAGGTAGATATGTAGATAGATAGATAGATAAATAAATAGATAGATAAATAGAT